AAACAGATTTTTGCAGATGGGAAGGAGACCAAGAGATGCAGGGAGGGAAATAAAAGAATTAACACTGGTCATCTATATGTACAAATATCCACAATGAAAACAGTTATCAGGCATCACAAATATGTTATAATATAAAAATTAAAAATATATGGCATCCATGAAAATGGAAACACATGGAGCTGAAATGTACCAACTCAGAGTACTCTCCAGAACATAATAGCATGAAATGATCTCCCCAGATAACTTTAAAGCACAATTAGGCTTAAGCTTATAATTTTTAAACTTTTCATCCAAAGATTCTTTTTTATCCAAAGATTCTTGATATATATTTTATTCTTTTATTTTCCTGAGAATTGTTTAATCTGTATGTTTTTAGTTACCAAATAGGAGCCTGCATTTCTGAGTTCAGAAATTTGCCTTAACCCTGCACTGAAGTCAGCAAGCCTCTTCAGCTGATTCCTTTAGCCTGTAATTACTGGTAACAATAAAGATGACTCATGCCCTTGATAAAGCCTGAAAAATGCTTCTTTTCTATTTAAAATTTCCAATCAAACAACTCTTGCTGAGTGTGAATGTGTGTTGGCATGCCTTAAAATTAGAGCATTTTCATCAAAATTTTCATTAGGTCTCTTTGTTGGCCACTCAAAAAAACTCAAAGAACACCAAAGAAAAAAAATGAGTATTTCAGGAAACCTAATATAGCATGGGATTTGGAGGTTTGTTATTCTAGTATTGAAAGTGAAGAATAGCAGTTTTCTAGTGTGTATGATTTTAATGAGTAAAGTAAATAATCTTTACAGCTTATATGACCTACTTGTGTTTCCATAGCAGAGTCTCTATGTTAAAAAGGAGGAAAAACAAAACAACAACAGAAGGATAAAGGCAGTACTGTATACCAAATCGCAGCCTATGTGAACTTGGAAAAGAAGCTTTTAACTGGATATAGATACTTTGAATCCTTTAAAATATCGCACTCAAAATACAGAAAAGAAAGGTCAGCATTTGTGAAGTTAAAACAAATTCTAGTTCATTAAAGCACTTCTCTTAAATATGTGTTTCTGACTGTCAAATTTGTAGAATTAAAAGTAATTTCCTTTGAACGCCGTGGCCATAATTAACGCTGTGGACTGAGCTGAAGTCTTCCCTGAAGTGGTGCAGAACTTCTGAGAAGTCATTTATTCATAACCAGTTCTCATTTCCCACAATTTTTAACTACAAACTAGGTTTATAGCATGACATTTCAATGAGAGAAGGTGATGATGGACTAGAAAAAGGTTAAATTGGAGTTGAAAACAGAAGCTTGAGTCCTGATGTTTAAAGCGGCAGATTGACTCTGGCCTGTAATTTTTCTTATTCTCTTTATGGGCAGGGCTCTTGGAAAAAATCTTAGGTCATCAGTTTGAACAATAGCCAATGTGCCTATTTAAAGAGAAAAGGGAGGTGTGAAATTTCTTGTTACAAATGTAATTCATCACTTGCTAATGGAATCACCATCAAAAACTATTTCAAAATTATATAGTTGATATTAAACTTCAAGCCTGGGACCTACTGTGCACTAAGTAGGCCACCCAGTCCCACAGGGTCTCTCCTGCCCCAGCCCTGAGGAGCCTCTGAGTTTTCTCTATGACCAATACCTGGATTTTTGTCACCTTCAGTCCCAACTTTATACTATTCTCCCTTCTCCTGAAAGTCTTTAACTGCAATATTACTGCGCTATAAATATGTAGTAAAATGATCACAAATAAAAGTAAATTTGAGTTAATATAGTTTAAAATATTTGTTAAAGTTTATATGATTCAGAAAAGAAATTATTTGTATGATATTCATTTCAAAGATGGTTAGCCACTAGATGTCACCCTGCTTTAAATAATCAAGAAGCGTCCCTAAGTACTCGATCAGCAGTTACATTTATTCCCTTATCTTTGATATTCTCCTTATAGTTCTAAACTACAACACTGAACAGTTTAACAAAAAGTCTTCCCTATACATACTGAATAGTTTAACAAAAAGTCCACTCCACTATTCTAAGAAAGTTTCAAAGTGTTTAAAGGGTGATGGAAAATTGACTACATGCTTAACCAGCTGATCTGAGAGACCTAGTAGCTGAAATAAAAGTTTATATTTGTCAAAAGTATTCATGCTGGAACATTTGAAGTTAAATTATATATGATCTCCACATTGCAAAAATTATTCACCAGAAAAATTTCTTCCCCTTATATTCAAAGTAATTTTATTCATGGAATATTATTATAATATGTATAAAGTTAGCTTTATTCAATGTAGTATTTTTGCTGTTTAAGCTGTTTTTTTTTGCTAATGATAATACTCTTCCTGAAAGTGATGCTTGATTTATAGATCTAGAAAAAAGTAAAACCATTTTGAAGTACATGTAAAGTTTGGAGAAAGGATTTATTTTTCTATCTGTGACAATATGCATATTGTGTGAAAATAGCTTATCTTTACCTCATACAAATCTGGTACATATCATTCCTAGGGAAGGATCTCCAAAATTATCCAACACAAGTTAAATTCAATACAGGAGACCTGGCACTGAAGAGGTAACACAATATACAAAGTGACAGCAGTGGAACTGTTCAGTCCAGCACGACATCAAAACCAGCCTTAAGAATATGAGAAAACAAATGCATGCAAATGAAACACCCCAGGGTTCCTGTACAGCAGCCTTCATCGGTCAATAATGATTTCTAAAGCTGAGTAGTGAAAATGCAATGGACAATAACATATATATTTTCAAAGAATTTTAAAAGTAAGGCTCTCATGCAAAGACATAATGAACATACAAGAAAGATCTTAGGAAACTCACTGATTAATTGAAGCCAGTAAAGAGTAAGGCCAGAAGAAGAGAAAATTCAAGGAATGGCGATTTATACTATTAGTTGGTCAAAGGTCTAATGAAATAAACTTGGTTATAAACAAAAACTGTCCCATAAGGTCAGCATAACCTTGGAATTATTCTTCCTTCTTGACAGAAATGATCTCTATTAGGTGAATGTCTAAATGTTAACATGCAAATTCACAGTGAGTCAACAAAATACTTAGGTCTAAATATTAAATAATTATCAAACAATACTTATTAAAGAATACTTCAATACATTTTACAAAAGAAACCCATCATTTTCATTTATTTATTAAACTTTTACAATTTATATATGTATGTATGTATTTTTGTATGCATATTAGGTCCTAGGTATTGAATCCAAAGCAATCTCAGACCTTTTTTTATCTGCTCAGGGTGGCTTTGAACTTGTGATCCTCCTGCCTTTGTCTCTCAGAGTGATGGAATTACAGGGTTGCACCACCATGTTGGCATTGGTTATGTATTTCTGCAGCTTCCCATGTATTGATCACGAAGTACTTAAGTGGACATAGGCATAATCTCATTCTATTATCAAAAATTTGTTTTGTTATAGATGTTGATATTCTTTCTATAAAAGGATAGAATATTAAGAGATAGGAAATATTCTTGAGATTTCAAACCAGCACGAGACCATGCTGGAACATGAACATGGTCTGCCTAGATCTTTCTTCCCTTTTTTTCATTAAGTTTATTGGTATATTTTAGGTTTAAAATCTTTCTTAATATATATTAAACATTGGCTAGATTTGGGGATTCCACAACATGAAGCTCACGCACACTCCAGCTGTCTTACGTCTCCTTTTCCTCTTCCATGGGGAGAAAAATCTTAAGTGCAATGCACCTGCTGTAACTTCAAAACTTATCTCCCAAAATCACCCTTCTCTAGAATCTGTAGCATTCACGCCAACATCACTAGCTAGCCCTTGGAGTTGACTCAATACATTAGATCCTCTATCGCATTTTAAATAAATGAAGAATAATGTTATCAAATACATTGGTTAAAAATAAAAAAAGCATACTTTCAACATATGCATAGTATTCTCATAATACCGGCTTTATATGCTTCTCAGAATAATTGGCACATAGAGTGAAATCTAACGTCCTAACTACAGTATATTCAAGGGAGATGTTAGCCTGACCAAGGACCTAAGGAAAATGTGCTCTTTTATATTAAAATCTTGAAGAAAATTTAGATATGATTAAATCAACTCTACAAATCACTCCAGTTCCTAGGATTTATGTCAGAACCTCAAAAATGTGAGGTGCTCCAAGATTTATTATTAGTACAGCTTCAATTCCTGTGGAGATTATACCACTCAGTCAGTGACGGAGAGGACACAGAAAACTAATCAACATTATTATAGTATCTATTGGAAGTCTACACAGTCACATCATCACACACATTGCAATACAACTATAAAAGTTTTTTTTTTCTAGAATATGATTTCTTTTTCTCCACACCAGATGAAAATGAAAGGAACATTGGTGAGTTTACCGGCAAAGTAAAAATGTACAAATGTGTTGATCTATTACATTTGCATTTGTACTTGCTCTCAAAGTGGAAGAAAGTTATCTAAAATAGAAAAGTGTTACTTTTTATGTAGTCAGTCTGTTATTCAGTGTTCAGCTTCTTCAGGTTTCATGGATTATAAAGTCTTTTAGGGCAGAAGGTATTTCCTACAAGCAATCATGTAATATTTATAGCTGTAAATGTAGGTGTAATTTTAATAATAGCATGCCACATTTAAGGCTCTATTAGGCACAGCTCTGGTTGTCTTTGATTTATCCATCAGGCAAGGAATCTCAAATCTTCTGAAGTCTAATTTTTGAAAAAAAATCAAGTGGCCTTTTGCATTAAACCATTTGCTACACATGATTGCAGTGGCTCATTTTTACCATTGAAGCTTCCATTTTTTGATTGAATTTCTTGTTCAACCATTTGAACTCTTCAGAAAGCAATTATTTCTTATAAAGCATATCATTCTTAATAGAGGAGTAGAAGAATTATAATCCAATCCAGAGCCTATTGGATAACACTTTAAGAAACTTGTGTAAATTTAACATATTTTGCATGCATATTGATTTGTTCATCACCAAAGAAGAATCTGAAAATGGTACTCACGCAGGCTTAACTGTATAGGCATGTTTTTCATGTACAAAGGCACCACCAAGACCTCCTGCCCCTGAATTTAAGTACTGAATTGAAAGTAAATTAAATTAAATGAGTTTATCTGAACATATGACAAAAATAATAATTATTTGACTTTTTAAAATTAAAACAACTAATTATCAGTTCAAAACATGTAACTATTTAAATTTGTTTAATAAAACAGGATCATCCATCATTTTCTTTAAAAAGAAGTGAAAAAATGGGAACCAAGACCTGTCATGTAAAGGTACAAGATCCCAATAATGAATGTAATTGTACTGTAATCCTAAAATGTACCAATAAACTCAATAAAATAAAAAAAAAGAAGTGAAAAGTAGTATTACTAGGCTGACAAATCCAAGGTTATAATTGTTTTGGTCAAATTTTGCCCCATCTAGTAAGTAGCAGTTTCACTGAGGTCTAATTAAATTCAAAATTCATAAATTTAAATTATTTGTCATAAAAATTAGAAATAATTTTAAATGCATGTTAAAACATATACATTATTACTGGGTTTACTTTCACGATGCTTATCAATTAAATTGTCTTCAAACACCAATACCAATTTAGTTTCCTAAGAACTGTGGTTACACATTTCAGAATCTACCGACCAACAGCCTGAGGATCTTTATCAATGTGAATTAAGTTCTAAGCATGAGACATTTTTTCCAGAACCTTCTAAATTTTTCATAACAGCCTAGAACTGAAGAAAGAACTTCTCCATCACAATATAAATACTGTAATTCATTTATCATATTATACTCTCTACGATTTTACTGTTAACTAAAAATTTAAATAATACAATAATGGCTGAAATAGAGTCACTCAAATCCTTAAAATTGGCCCGCAGATCCATTATTTCCATCAGATTAGTGCCAATGTGAAATAAAAGGAAGTAAATATATTAGCTCATTCTTACCTTGTAGGAACACCAGCAGGCAAAATCAACTCCCCAGTCATGTAAGTGAAGTTCAACATTTCCGACTGCATGTGCTAGATCAAAGCCAACGAAACATCCCTAGGGAAGAGCATAACAAGTTTTGAATTCACTTAGTGATTAGAAGTAGTAAGTACAAATATCTTTAAAAGTTCCTTGCCAAACTTCTGTACTATAAAGTTACAATACATGACCCCTAATTCCCAAATCTTTTTAAAAGCCTGGCAGATGGAGTAATTTTGTAATAAGAAGACATCGTTCCCATTCTTCATTAGGTTGACATTTGTACTGATAGTGCAAAAGCAGGAATTGGTAAAATTGCTGGCAGCTTTGTAGGAAACTAATCTGTGACCCTAAACTGCATTAGGAGTCATTGCTTTTTCCCCAAGACAGTCAGGGGTGGGCAGTGTTCACTTGTGAATCTCCTTGTTAAAGTTTTGAAAAGGATCAATAATTTTTAGTAAAGAAAATCATCTTATTTCTCATATTTTAACATTTCATGTGGGAAACACATGTCATACATTTGACCACTTTCTGAAATAAAGTAGACCCAAATTAAAACACCTGTGTTTCAAACTGAACTAGCCACTTTAAGCTTGTGGAGAACTAGTAAAGAGAAACTGATAAACAGCTGAAATTCATACTTAGGTTTTTGACAGATATTCTTCTAAAAACAGACAAAGTATTATTTCAAGGAAATCAACTGGTAGTACTTGTCCTCAATAATTAAAAATTAGTTTCCAAAACAAATAGAAATTTTTGAAAACTTGTATCTACTTCTATGATTGGGTCTGTTTTCCATTAAAGGAGATATCGCTCATGAGCATTAGTAGTAATAACTAATTTAAAATACTTTATATTCAAATATGTTGATTTTTGGAAAATGTACATAATTCTATGAACCAAAGGGTTCCAAATGACAAATGCTTGATATTACATATCATGCACTGATAAAAGATCTGTTTGAAATGTGTTTGAACTGCAAGATCAATCAATGAATTTTAATTTAATAGAGAAATTTTAGTGATTTAATTTTAAATTCCATATCACAACTCTTAAGAAATGCTCACTCATCAAATGATGGTGCAATACCCAAATATATCCACAATTAACTGGAAAGACTATTAAAATTATTCTGACTTTTTCAAGCATATATTTGCATGAACTCTTTTCATTTTCATATGGTTTCCAAATGGGGAAAAAAAAGACTGCAAAGGCAGGTATAAAAATCCAGATGTCTTTGAGAGTATATTGAAGTTAATTTAGAATACATAATATTCTCCCTACATCTTCACTTCAGGCACTCCCTATATATTCTTAGGGTCTGACACTATTGTTAGAGATTTACTTGTTGTACACTTTCAAGTGTTTTGTGTGTCTTCCTAGTAAAATTCATTCTCTCTTAGAAAATAAAACGGCCTCTGTTTTCATTAAATTCCAAAGCGGAAAACTGAAATAATGAATATATTATTATCCAAATTGTACTCAGGTTGGAACTTTGTAATTTAATTGCTTAGGGTCAAAACCACTTAAGCTTCACAAAGCATTAAACTCTTACCTAGTGATTCCTCCTGCAAAGGACTGTAATATTGGTTATGCCCAAAGAAGGCTGGGCAAGTGGCTACTGGAACCTAACTGCAGGGGTCCCTGGCACCTTCCACATGAAGACAAATGTTTACGTGAATATGAATTTAAAAATAAATAGCACTGATCTTTACATAGGACTGAGAACTTTGCCAATTTTTTAAACCTCTGGCCTATCGACTGCATATATAATAACTACATATATATATATATACATATAGAATACAATATAATAACTACATGTCCCAAACTTTAGAGCTCCTGCAATATCGGAGGAACACATGTGTTGACTGAAGTAGTGTTTTTGATGTAAATAATTTTAGCAGTGCCAAATTTAGAATTTTCTAACATGTCTTAATAATAAATCGCTCAACTCTTCTATTACAGGTATTTTCCCTAGAGCAGAGAGGTTCAAATTATGACCTGATTGCATAAATAAAGTTATATTGTGACACGACCAGTAGCAGTGTCATTTGTTTAAATATGATCCACAGCAGTTTTTGTATCAAGACAGCAGAACTAAGAAGTTACCACAAGAATATGTGATCAACAGAACCTAAATTATTTACTGCATGGTCCATAACAGAAAATATATACACACTCCAGCTCTATAGCCTTAGTTTCCATAAAAAACTTAATATTTGGAAATTATACTTAATTAAAAACAGTACTCATTATAAGATACACTTATATTATAAGATACACTTATAAGGATTCCATTTGGGAAAATATTGGAGTTCTTCCTAATTTGAAATAATCTTTCTTAACATATTGAGGAAATACTCTTACGTGAAATAAATAAGTCACACATGTGTAAATACCGAATAGTTTCTCTGGTGTGAAAAACTATAATAGTACACAAGATCCTAATAGGATAATTAATAGTGTGAAATAGGAAGAAAAGGGCTAAAGGTGTAGGGAAAGTGGGAAGGGTAGGGGAAAGGAAATAAGGGAAAAGAAAAAATATGAGAAAATATAAAATGGAAATAAAGTGTTGGTAGATGGGGAGGAGAGGAGGGGTGAAGGGAGGGCAGGGACAAGGGGAAAACATGAGAACCAAGACCTGTCATGTGAAGGTACAGGATCCCAGTAATGAATGTAACTGTATTTTAGACCTAGACTGTACCAATAAACTCACTAAAAAAAAAAAAAAATGAAATCATCTTTCTCTTCATAAATATTTCTAACTAGACGAGATGAATTTTCAAAGTCAACTTTTCATAGTACTTTTAATATATACTACTCTTCTTAGAAAACAAAGGGCATAGAAAAGGCTATATTTTTATTTTACCATCCATTATTTATAAAGAATGGCACTTTGAAGAATGCACAGACTTCACGTACTGGATCCTGTTATTAAAAACCCTGTGGCCACAGCAGTGACTTCACATCGAAACATCACTTGTGGCTCCTACAATGTGTTTTAATGCACGTGCAGTTCTTCCCATATGGATTGCAGAAAAACATCCATTATTCACATGGGACAGTTTTGAGGAATAGGCTGGAAGATGCAAATTTGAGGCATTCAGGATGTGCTACTCCAAAAGTGTCACTAGATGGCAGCATCTTAAAAATAAAGAAGAAAATCTGTAACCATCTTTGGGTATTTTCATTACTTGTAAGAATGACATGATGTGAATAGGAAAAAAGAAGAAACTGCACTTGAGTGTCTGCTTTAATACATTTTTGTAAAAATCGAAATAGTTTTCAACACATTTTTATTCCAAATTACCCACAGATGCTCTCTTTATACTCACTGACAGGACCACACGGGAAGGTGTCAGTGCTCAACCAACACATGGCCTCACTTTCTTGTCAGTTCCCAAACCATTGCCTTTATCTTAACCAACCTGAATATTTCCAGCTGTCTCTTCTCCAGTGAATTTTCTACACTACACCTTTGAATATGAGAGACACCCTGTTTCCCTCCAAGGGAAAAACCATTAAGTTCATAATGTAACCCATAATCCTTGGCGTGGCTCATAAAAACTTGATGACCTGGCTCCTTCTACCTCTTCTTAGAGTCCTCAGACTTTCCTCCCTGTATCTGCAAAAACTTTTCTCTTTCTTTGGGACTTTTTTTTTCTCTTCAATGTGGCCCCCAAAGCTTCATATATAGGAAAATAAATCCTCAAATTCATATTTAATAGTATTTTGACTGAAGCCTTCTAGCAGTGTTAAGGATTAGAAGGCATGTTGGTGGAGCCCTCATAAAGACATTGATGACTTTATCCAGCAAGGAAGAAACACCAGAACTGGCACAATTACTTGGGCTTTTTGTGTGATGGCTTCCACTGTGCTATGATACAGAAGAAAGGTCCTCCTCAGATGTCAGCGGCATGCTTCTGGCTTCTCAGCCTTCAGAATCATGAGCTGTACAAACATCTATGCCTTATAAACTATCCAGTATATGGTGCTCAGTTATAGCAACATAAAATGGACTAGGACACTGGGCTAATTCAGTTTTCTTTTACCAACTTTCTCACACTCTAGCCCCATTTGAATATTTCCTGTCCACAAGTGCCAGCCTCTGAATGTCCACTGCTTGGTGCTGCCCAGACTCAAGTGGACGAGTTTGTTCCCTTGCCAGTGGCACCAGCTGGATGGCAGATGAGTTCCAGGTTTCCTTTGGTCCCCTCAAGGCTCCTATGACACTTCTTGTGACTGTGAGAACTACAGCTTCTACACTACAGCAATGAGGTCTAAAGTGCTCTGAATATTACTCCATGGTTGATACCTAAGTAGTAGAAAACAAACCAAGAACTACAATATAGAAATTTGGACACTATCACCTTAAGAAGAAAAAAGTGTTATGGGAAATTTGAAAAAAATATAGCATTACTGGGAAATACAAATGCATGTGGTTGTGTGATTATGTGGTGCTGGATAATTCTGTAAAGACAGCATAGACAAGAGGTCCATTAATAGTATCATATTAGTTATTTAATTCTAATTTTAGGATTTCTCCAAGGAGTTATAATTAAAGAGATACTATACAGTCGCAGAAAGAGGTAGAAATGGAGAAGTAGAAGACTACATCTGTTAAGGCTACTTGCCATTGTACTGGAGCATTTAACCTTCTCAAATCCATCCAAATGTTGCAACTCAAAAACATCTCCAGATGCTAAGCTACAAATAGTAGCAACAGTGAAGATTTGCAGGACAGGCTCTACTACCTCTTTAAAAATCTAATTTAAGGGTGAATATGTTAAAAAGTCCTTCCTTTCAATTCAGAGATATCATTCCTCTCGATTTTCCTTCCACCCACACTACATTTATTTATTTTTTATTTTTTTAGTTTTTGTGGTACCAGGGATCGAACTCAGGACCTTGTGCTTGTGAGGCAGGTGTGGTGCCACGGAGCTAAATCCCCAGGCCCCACCCACATTATATTTAACATGCACCAAAAATAGAGGGGAGGGAATCCCAGGGTGAGAGGAGAGGGAAGGGAAAAGGAAAGCGGAGGAGAAACGGAATTACGAGTGTCAGTACCGATT